CCTCAAGGGAAAGCTCTGCATAATGAACTTGAAATTGCTACTGCTGGAAATACTGTTGTTGCTTTTCCTGCCAGGGCTGTCACCTCACTCAACATTTTTAACTTGAAGTGGAGAGTAGAGCAACATCACTAAAGGCCGAGGTTTATGCTGCTAGATTTTCCAAACTCTGAGACCACTATGCTCTTTGGTACATTTATGGCATCTTTGAAGAGGAAATTGGCCAGAAATACCCCATGGTCTCAAAAATTGAGAGGATAAGGTAAAGGGCAGGCATAATAAAGCATGTGGAAGCCATGTTTTTAGAAGAGATCTACACCACACTTATGAGTGGGAACTCCTAAGTGAAATGAATGGGGAGACAATGCAACTTAATTGACAACAATTTCCCTAGAGATGCATAAATAATCCCCAAGATTTTTAGCTCCAGTTCCCAGCTTCCCTTCTTATCTGATAGGGAGGTATGAGAAAGCTCATTCTAAAGAGAAAAGCAGAGCTGTGGACTGCCCAAGATGCTCATTCCCCAAAGGGACAATCCCTTGCTGTGTTATTTCTTGAAGATGGTCTCACAGAAGCCTACTTGAGTAGGGTTCAAGTCATGCCTGAATAAGAGAAATACAATGAATGAAAAGAAGTCAGAATTACAATGCACAGTATTGTAAACTGTTCTTCTTAACTTGACAAGTTTAGCACATGGATGAATATTTAGTGGTCTTTTTTAATGTAATAACTGCTTTTCAGCGTTACTCATCTTTCTGAGTGGTTGCTGTAGCTACAGCATAACCCTGAGAACTGGCAGAGAGGGAATCGTGTATTCCACAATGTTCCCTAGCCTGTGTGAATTATTTCATGAACATTTGTATATCCTAAAGTAGGTGTTAGCTAGAATAGTCTATAACTGCATACATGGAAATTTATTTCCTAATCCCAGATAGAGATTATCAACCTTAAATTTCAGGATTTATCGTGTTTAAATGCACTAATGCACCCTCAGATATCTTGTCATCCAAATGAATGTTTAATTCTCAGTTGAGTCCTGGGGTTTTATAGGCAGTTACGTGATATAGATGAGAAGGAAGGCCATAAAATAAACCTTATTAGTATTTCAGAAGTGCAGATTTAAGGTCATTTATTTATATAGGTGCTGGGTGTTGTAAACCATAGGTGACAGTAGGGGAAGTTTGTTTATGGAGTCAGTTTACTGGAAAATCAACAATGTCAGAGCTGCTCTAGCTCTAATATTTGGAATGAGTCAGGTTTGACATTTTAAGTGGAAAAACAGCTCAGAATTTAGAACCAAGTTAAGAATATACTGGATGGATCATTTTGGGAAGGCCAAATTAGATTTCTAAATTGACATACGGTGCTAAAACTAGGAACAGCTTGCCTGCATTCAGAAAAACGACTAATAGAGAAAAAACCCTGAACTTATTTGGGAGGAAGGAATCAGTGTAGAGAATGTGTGCTAAAGGCTATAAGAATCCTGTGTAGAAAACAAGGAAAGGGAGCTGGTATTAAGTGGTTGGCAATAAATATATCACTAGTTTAAAACCACAATGAAAATCAATCAGCTAATAAATTAATCAGGGGTTAAGAGGCAAAACTTCTCCTCTAACTTAAATTTTACTGGGTTAATATTTTTTTTGCATGCTTCCCTAATAATAAAGGATGATTCTTGTCTTGCTCCTTCTTGTAGCAGTTATGTACCCTGTGTTTTTATCTAAGGACTGTGAAAGTAAGTTTTTTATATATATATTCTTTAGAATACTGGAAAGCCTGCACTTTGTATTGTTAGTCTTCAGCTGAAAATTGTTCTTTTCTTATATTTTACATGCTATAGTTTTATGTCAAAAGGTTTTCTCACCCTTAGGGAAGGATGGCCTCCTCTGCTTTTAACAGATGTTAAAATATCTGTGAGCTAAGAATTTTAATATATACCTTCTGGAAATTTGTACAGTGATCTTAAGTAGTATGACCCTGTTAGAATAAGGTAAAGATACTTCTAATATCCTCTTCTTTCCATTGCAAATTATATTTCTATACCTGAACTTGTGTAGTTTTGTCTAGAGATTTGTGTTGTCAGAACATTCAGATTCTCCATTGCAATCTTTCACTGTCAGTTTAGGAATATTCCAAAAACTTTTTGCCCTAAGACTTAGAGAAAAAGTACACAAATAATTTTGTTAAATTAAATGTAATTTGTTGATTGATTATAACTTGCATATGCAGTGGAAGCGGTAATGGTGGTTCCTGTGCCAGCGGGAATACAGAAATTATTCCTTCAAGGAATATTCCAGGCATGCAAATTATTGTAAAGGGCAAGGGGGAGATCGCCCTCCTTTTCCTCTACTGTGTAGGGCTGATTATTGCCAGTGATGCTGGAGAGAAGGAGAAAGAATTGCACTGAGAAACAGAATCTCTCATGGGATTTGCTGAGATTGAAAAAGATTTTCTTTCCATTTCTGAAACATCAATAGGCTGATTATTGAGATGAGCAGTGCTTGTGCTGAAGGATGGAGGAAGGAGAACAGCTTTAGCTGAGCTGCCAGTACAGAAAAATAAAGGACCTGTATTTATTGCCAAATTCTAGAAGGATTCTGTCAAAATGAAGCCACAGAAGTATAGAGATGAATGCCTTGTGTGCTCAGTGGCATATCCCACTCTGATTACTTCTGACAGTAGAGCACTAGGCCTGCTATAGCAAAAATTTTGTCTTTAGCCGTGTTCTGCGTCCTTCTGACCCTTACATATACGTGCCCACTCTAAGAGTATTTTCATTTGGCTAAGAATGAACACTGCTCCCTGCTATTCTCAGAACAGAGGGTTTTCTTCATCCAGGTCACCATCAAAGATGGGAAATGTAACAAGGAAAAATTGTTGGCAGCAGTAAGGATCTAGATGCAACCAATGAAGACAGGTTGCTGAAAATGAGGATATCCTTTCCTATAAGTGAGTGAGCAGTTCTGCCTTTCATTAACCCCAGCTTCCCTACCGTGCAAGAAGGCCTTTATTCTTAGATCAGCAGATTCAGTCTGTGCTCAGAGCTGGAGAGTTGAGCTTGCTGGCATTCTTTCTCTTGGTGTTCTTGCAAAAGGTTGAGTGCTGTATATCACAGATGCTTCCCTTGTGCTGAATTCTGCTTTTTCCTGGAGTTTCAAAATCTGTGAAAATTTTACTGAAATTTATTGAGTTTGGCAAAAAGAATTGGTTAAATGCAGAATCTGACTGTGTTCAGGTTTCCTAGTCCTTGATGAGAGGAAAGAAAGGCGTTGCTGTGACTCAGAAAATAATATTGTTTCAGTTCTCACCTTTATGAATCATATTAAAAGTGGTTTTTTTATTTTTATGTTTTTTTCAAGAATTCATTGGGTTGTCATAATTTGGATGGCCTTGAATTCAAGGTTGAGTTACTTTTCATGTATACTGATCATTTGCTAATTATAGATGAAGGAATTCTACTTCAGTAGGCTGAAAATTTACTTGCCTCAAAATAGAGAGAGGATACTTGTTAGTTCAGGTATTGAAATTTCTGTTTGATGTAAAAATTCCACTAGGATCTGAAGTCAGTCTAAAGTAATAGATAATGACTGTTTTGGTGACAAACCAAATCTTGCCACCACAGTTATTTTTGTTACTTGTGTCACATTATCTGTAAGAAGCACTTTTCTCCTGTGTGTCACAATTCAGCCCCAGGGTTATCTGTGTAGGTCTACACACAGCTAAGTAAGGTCATTAATTGCATTCTTCCTGAAAACAAAATGTACATGTGAGTCAATGTCCATAGTTGTGGGTTTTTTTGTAACCAGTGCTGTGTGTAGAACTGTTCAGACCTATTGTGATGTATTAAAAGGTTTGTATTTTCCTCTTAGGTGAAAGGTTTAGGAAAACCTAGGCAGTGAATCAGATTTAATGGCATTGTTTCTTGAATTTGTGTGGTATTACGACTTCAGTTTGCCGATCTTCATTCCTGTTTATTAAAGTGTGATGTACCTCACTAAGGTACAGCTTTTCATATAGAAGAGTAGAAGAGCTTTGCCTATAATTCCCACAATGAATCATATTTGGAATACAGTGGTCAGTATTTGACCCTTCTGCTTTACTTTTTGATTATGCCTGTGCTACGTACCATAACACTTCAGTATAGTAGGTTTAGCTAGGTACCTGCTTAAGGCTTGGCTTTGGCTATTAAGTCTCAATACCATAACTGTTTGAATAAATTAAAGGCCATGCTTTGCTGTACAGGTAAATACACAACCTGCAGGGGATATTTTACATTTAAAATACCTATTTTTCTGATTTTTTGATTTTTGTTTATTTTTTGCCAACCATAATGTAAATGATATATAGACACGAGAACTTTATTCATTTTGGTGTAATGAATACGAAACAGTGTTAAAATATCAGTGGTGACACTTTGTTCAAGCATGAGGAAGCCAGACTTGATAAACTTAGCTGGCAAAATAAGAATCAAACCCTGTCAAGTGCCTCCTGGCAAACCAAACCTCTGATGTGAACAGGAGTTCTGTTAAGATTTTTTTTCTTTTTTTTAATTTTCACCTGCTGTGGTGCAAAATTTAAAGCTCAACCCTGTGTAGTGCTGAGTGCCAGTGAAAGCCATGTGAAAACTGAAATGTTCAATGTCTTTCAGGATTAGGCCTTTACTGTGGTGCAAATCTTCTGCATTATGTGATCTGTTGTTCTTGAACTAATAGATTTCTTTCTTTCTCTTTCCCCTCATCCTGAAAACTAGGTTATGTTATGTCAACTCCAAATCCTGGTTGTAGTAATTTATTCTCTTTTAAGGCAAATAAAGTAAATCAAGCCATAAGACATACTTCCCTCATAAGAAGATTAATGTACAGAACTTGATTCACTTATGTTGTCTTTTGTGCTGATTTGGTCTTGTTTCTTTAAGATGAGATGGCTGTCTCTGTAATATTAGTGTATTTTACTTGCCGTAATCTGATGTACCGTTTCTCTCCCCTTTTTTCTCCTCCCCTAAGATTATCGTTGGAGAAACTGCGGTCTTTTGTCTACAGTTAGCTACAAAGGATTTTGAAAACCAAGAAAAAACAATATTAACTGGAGACTGTTGTTATATAAATCCACTGGTGCGCAGGACCATCAGATTCCTTGGTATGAGCAAAATTACTGCTTTCATTATCTGAATGGTGAGAGTGATCAATTATGTCTTAATTTTGACCTGGGGAAAATACTCAGATAACCATACAACATTTTGTGTGTAGTCTTAATTCAGGTTCAGTGTTCCTTTTAGGTAGCAAACAAAGCTTCTTAGAAGTTTGGATTAAAAAATAGTTGCAGAAACAGCTGTAAAAATAGAAAAAATGGGATCACAAAGGGGCGAAAACAATCAGCAGGCCTGGAGTGGGGTGAAATGAAGAAAGGAGATATCCTTGTGCCATATCTGTGGATGGCAGTACACACACACATGCCAAAGTTGACATTGGGATACAAATGTGTATTTGAAGCCAAGCAAATTTAGGTGCTTAGTCTGGATATTGTGTTATAGTCTCTAGTAGAAAACTGTAATGCTACACTGATTTGGGCTGAAACTCCCCCATTGACTTCTGTAGATATGAGGAGTCATCTTTTCTACTTAGTTTGCTCTAAACGTGTTTGGAGGGAGAAGTCTCACCACTCAAAATGTGTGTTGAATATTCCCAGATGCTGCTTCTTAATGTGTGCAGGGATGCCATAGCAGGGCTCAGTTCCATTGTTTGCTTCTCTCTCTGGTGGTTGTATCTAAGAGAAACAGCTGGAGGAATGAAGCCTTGGGGCAGCTAATCCTGCTGCGTGCCCCAGTCACAGGGGGAGGGAGGGCATGTGCAGCTGTGTCTGTATTTGCAGTGTTTGTGTAGCAGCCGTGCCTGCCTTCTGAGAGGGCGATTGCTGCTGTCACACTGAGTGCAAAAAGTCATTAGAGATGACACTGTCTTGCATAGGTCCGAAGGAGGTGGGGAGTGATGGTAAGGCACTCCTCCCACTCCAGTTGCTTTGTGTATAATCAGTGCTTGAGTTTCCTTCCTACTAGGTGGGCCCTCCTTTTTTTGCAGAAGCAAAAAGAAAAATTGTGAGGAAGGGCAGGGATGAACAAAAGGCTCTGTGCTGTTCTACCAGATGAGGCATCGCTACCCATTGTGCTCACACAAAGTGATGTGTCCACCTACATGTGGGCAATGCACACCCTCAGGACTTGCTGAAAGGGCCCTTCTGTGAAGCGACTTGGCTAGGCACAGTCTGCTGCTCACCAGAGTCTAGCATCCCAGGGTGAATTAACATTAGTGTGACATTGCTGACCAGCCAGATCCCAGAAATCATCCTTGATTCTCTGGCTTTGCTGAGAAAAAAACCCCTGACCTTTAGAAATGCACGTTTCTGTGAAATTGTGGCTGCTGTGGTGTTCATCTGGTAGAGTCCTCATGGTTCCCCATGAAGTTGGGATTTGCCAAAACTTGCTTTATATTGGAGTGAATTGGAGTATGGGAAAGGTAAGGTAATTTGCCTGTGGAAATACAGGAGGGAATCTATAGCTCAGGTGAAATTTGAACAAGCACCTACTGGCACCTACTGGTCAGAGTGCTGAGTTTGCATGTTCTTCCAGAGCTCATTTTCTATTTACAAAAGGATAGAGAGAGACTTCAGAAAAGCAGAAATCTGTTTTCTTTTAAGTAATCAGATACATGCATTTACATTCTCATGAATGAGTACATGTGCTTAATGTTTTGCTGATATGTCTGATTAAAAAAACTCTTTAGCATAAGTAGCTCCTCAAATATATAGGTCTTTAGCTTGCTCTGTTGATACTGTGATTAATATGCCATGCATAGGGATTTACCCAGTAGCAGGCAGATGAAAACAACTTGCGAATGACAATGTTGAATTATTCAGTATTTTAATTTCTTTACAGCTGCAAGGGAAAAGAAAATGTTTGTCCAGTATGTGTTACAACTTTTCAAGTTACTTCTCCATTAGTGCCTGGCTTCCTTGGTTCTCAAGGAGATTTATAGGGTGAAGAATGTGCTTCTGTTGTTTCACCGTGTTTAATGAACATAGGCAAAATTTATGTGCCAGTATAGCTACCTACCTCAAACAGGGAACATGCATGGCTAGGGGGCCTAGGAAAGTAGGCCATTTGCAAAGAGGTGAATGTGCTCCTATGGAAGATGGAGAGACATCAGTGTGTGGGTACATTGCAGTGTTGCTGCTGCAGTTGTGTCGGAAAGTAACATCTCCAGCATGAGCCATGATCTTTAGGGTACAGTACATGTGAGGATTTTTCATGTTCTTGAATGGAAGAAGCTGGTATATTGCTTTGATAAATAATATAATATGTTGCCCTTTGGTGAAATTGTCAGGAAATTTAACTCTTTGTTTCCATCTTTAGGAATTTACGCATTTGGACTGTTTGCTACGGACATCTTTGTAAATGCTGGACAAGTAGTAACAGGGAATCTTGCGCCCCATTTTCTTGCACTTTGTAAACCCAACTATACAGCACTGGGATGTAAACAGTATACACAGTTCATCAGTAGCGTTCATGCCTGTACTGGAAATCCAGACCTTATCATGAAAGCCAGAAAGACATTCCCATCCAAAGAAGCAGCACTAAGCGTATATGCAGCTATGTATCTGGCTGTAAGTATATTGTACTATTTGATGTCACCATGTTGTTGAGAGCAAATGGCTCACACTGTGAGGGGGAGGAGGGAGGAATGGGCAGAATATAAGGCAACTGTTGACTGATTTTGTGTATGTACAGCTTCTGTGACTTAGTGTGAGGCCTTTGAGAACGTGATTCATTGGACTTAATTCTGACAAGGTGTAGTGGTTTCTGAGCCTTGAAAGCCAAGGCTGAGAGAGGGCAAGTTGTCCATAAAGGGTTACAGATTTAGGATAAACAGTTTCTTGGTTTACTTTTCCCCTACTTCCAGAGCTTGTAGGACAATACTTTGTTGGGTGGTAAAGAATAAGGGTAGGAACTGACTGCCTCTGACTGATAGTGGTTCCTTTCCACATTTTAACCCAGTACAGATCAGTAGAGTTGCACATGGCCATATTCTTTGGTGAGGTGAAGCAGAAGGGTGGGCATATATATGCATCTGATCTCTGCAGGTTTCCTGAAATCTGTGCATGTCTTTTGGTACAAGGATTGGCATTTACAGGTACCTCACTGTTCATGCAAAGTCAATTTTGGCTATTATGCAATGAGGTGGGCTACAAGACAATCCACCCTTTTTCCCCCTCTCTCCTTTCTGTTACAGGGAATGATGAACAGGGCTGGGATAAAAACTGGTGTTTACTGCCGGCATCAGAGCTCTTGTACAGGCTGAGGAGAGGCAGGGCAGAGGAGGAGTGACCTATGAATCTCACTCATGTAATTCTGTGAAGTATTCACTGGCTTAGTTTGGAGTGCATATCGTTCTAGTCTTAAGCAGGGGCAAATCTTGTTCATGTGCTGTCCCCAGCACATGCCTGTGGGAGTCTCTGACCTGACCTGAGCTGGTAATCAGTCCATTGTAGCCCTCCGGATGGGCCCAGGGCTGCCCTCATAGTATTAGTGGGAAACCAAACAAGTGTGTTTGTGTGTGTGTGTGTGTGTTTGTGTGTGCCTCTGATCATTGCAGGAGTCATCCCTTTAATTCCCTCAGTATTTGAACAGTGGCCTGCCTATGTTGTATATATGTATGTGTGTGTGTATACACACATGCAGATGTAATTGTGTGTGTATTGCTTTTGAGCATATACTGAATGACCCAATTTAATTCCTGATTGATCTGGAAACTGATATTTGCCAACGTGGCAAAGATCCCACCCCATCCACAGGCAGTGTGTCAACTCTGTGCTTCTGCATATGAGTTTAGAACCAGTTGATTAAATCTGCAGCACTGACGGTAACATTTACCAAAAGTTGCTTGTGAGCAATGTCATTTAAGAGATGTGGATTAACAGTTAGTACAGGCAAGTGTTATCTGCAAATAAGAGATGATCTATAATATTCTATTCTAACTTGAGCCAACTGTATGTCTCCTGATAGTATTGTCTTTATTTGGGGAGATATCTAAGGTTTTGCTTCACTGAAACATACCTCTAAATTTGGTGCAAGCTATTTTAGAAAATACTCAGAATTTTTATTTCAATTGCTCCTATTTTTCTCATCCATCTGTGAAGTTGTATTTCCACTGCTGCCATGAGTCACCGTAACTAAAGGAAGCCAACTGTTCAGCTACTGCAAAGCAGGAAGGAAAATCGTATTAATACATTTTAAAAACAAAAAGTAGACATTAGTAAAGTTTTTAATGCCTAGTATCAGTGACTTTTGACATGAGCAAGGAATACTTTATGCAAACCTTGCCTCTGGTCAATATACAGTTAGTGATATCAAAAATTAAAACTGCTGTGATCCATTTCATGACTATGTGCTCTTTCAGTACCTGCAGAAATAAATATATTCTATGTTGCTACTGTATTGCTGCATGATGCATGACACTCATGATTTAACTGAAGCACTATAAGCTGCTCTTAGGACTTCTGAGTTCTTATAGTAGCTCCTTGATGCAATGGTACAATGGCAGTTGTTTGTTTGTTTTTGTTTTTTTTTTTAATCCTACTGCATGATTGAAGCTAAATATACTGTTTATTACACACCGGGGGGGAAAAATTTGCCATGTTCCAATATTTGAGGTCATGTCCTTATGCTGACATGATGTTTGTCAAGATAGTTGGCCCTAAATAACAATTTTCTCATCACTGTTCACTGGAGTAGAAGATTTAAAACAGTAGCCTAGTCTTTGAGCCATGTTACAACAGTTATTGAGAGCATGGACATAAAGACCTCCATATATTACTCAATATTTCATTAGCATATAATCTCTGGTACAAAATCTACTTTCTTTTTGGTTAACAGAAATTTGGGAGAGAGGGAGAGATTGTTACAGAATCCTCCCTGGATATTTTAGCCAGCTGTGCACAAAACAAAACCACCTTAAAGACAAGAAACACACAGCAAGCTGATCTGAGTCCTTGCTCTCTGAAGGGATGAAGTAAATGCCATCAGATTTGTGTGATTTCACTGTCAGACTTGTGTGATTTAACCGGTCAACCTGTTTAGAAACAAAGCCTGTGCTTTATCTAATAATGCTCCTATCTCGTTCCATTGAGGTGCAGCCACGTTCTTATCACCTAGCATATTGTCTGGTTAACAATAGCTTCTTTTTTCATCTAAGTTCTTGACTCTTCTTTTTTCCCCCTTCCCCAATTTTGAGAGTGGGTGGCTGCTATGGTAACCCAGAATTCCCCTCCTGCTTGAAAGTACAGTCTTTAAACAGTTGTATTGCTAATATTTAGACCTCTCTGTAAATGTTTTCCTCCATTACTTTCTTTCAAGAAGGTCTTAGCAATGGAAATGTTGAAAGGCAGCACAGTGGTTAGATGCTTTCTCTACCCTGCTCCAAACATGCTCTCAATAATGCATTACCTGTCTTCTTCAGACTTTCAGGTTTATTTTTCCCAGTGTACCAGTGTATTCCAAATGAACTACTGTAAATCTGTGTTCTGAAATCTCTAACCAAGCTGGCTACCACCTGCGTTTTTCCTTAGGTGTCTGCTCAACTCATCGGAGATCTTTTGTTTGTTTATTTTTGCTTTCATTTCTTATGAGCATTGCAATTCACCTTTCTCAGCTGGAACAACATTTGCTAACATAGGTATTAAGGCAAACACTGCAACTTTATCAAATAGAATAGAAGTATATAAGCTAGATTTTGCTATGTGTAAGTTGACACCGCCTGGACAAGTAGAGGGATGTTTTGAAGCAGCCAAGTATGCACATACTTGGGTTTTTTTCCACAACTGAGACACAGAAATGAGAAGTCATGAGTCCTTTTTTTTGGTAGGATTTCAAAGTGATATATGAAGATTTAGTCAGCCTATTCCCATAGATTTAAATATAAGACTTGTGACTACCAGTCATCCTTTGGTACTTCAGACCTAGGGGATTAGTTATTACTAGTTGTAGTTCAGGAAAAATTTCAATTAATTCTCTAAAATTTTGCTTTTTTGTTGTTGTTGTTCTTACTACATTGGACAAGAGCAGGTGGCAGCTAACCAGTCTGTAGGGAAGTGTCTGAACTCGGTATTACCGCATACATTTCAGACTTCCTTTGGATTTGTAATAATAGAGGAACAGGCTTAATGTCTTGATAACGTAGCCCTTAAGTCTGTAGGCAGCTTTTGTTGCTTTGTACTGTGAGTCCTTGGCCTCATCTACAGCCTCAGACAGGACTAGCACGTAAAGCTTGCAAAGAGTTTCTTCTTCTCTGCAGAGCTTTTGTTTGACCTATGATCATCTTTCCTGCAAGGTTCTTGCTCCTGACATTCTGCTGCATCATTTTTACAGTTTAGTGTGTTTGTAAGTCACTGGGAAAAGACAGCAAGGCAGTCGGGGTCACAGTGCTGGCAACATGGTGACATTCTCCTCAGTGTCCTTCCTTGATCCAATTGTTAGCTGTAGGTCTAGTTTCACCTGTGCTTTGTCTTGAAGTGCCTGTTTGGCTCCAGCTAAACGGGAAGCTGATGGAGGCATGATAGGCCTCTGATGGACTTTCAGGAGTGTTTAGGAGGAAAAGTAGTAGCAGAGCCACCTTATTGAGTCAACTTTGTCCATTTTTTGTTAGGAAATTAAAGAATTAAAGGATTCTTTGGGCTGTCTTTCAGGGGCAATGTTAGGAATGTGGAATTTCTTTTTGGTATCTGGTGCAGCAAGTAAAAGTGTCCCTCAGTACTGATTGTACCACAAACATCGTGGGCTTCATATGTTGAGTGTGTTGGTTACTTTCAGACTGAATAATAAAATAACATTACAGTTTGATCACGCTATTTATCTAAAGACTTACAGATATTTCATGCCAGTCAGCTCTTCATGACAACTCAGTTGCTCAAGATAACAACCTCTGTATTCCTGGTACAGTGAAAGATACCTCTTTCCTTCTCCAGTTGTTTACAGTTACAGCTGTGGGGAGCTTGTAGTAGTAAAACGAATAGTAAGGTTCAGAATTTCTAGAGCTTTCTTTTCCTTTTGCCAACCCAGACCCCTGACTTTAAAAGCCAGTTTTTGTCTGGGGTCATCAGTAATAAGTGCAAAACATATGGAGAAAGCTGGAGGAGGCTTCAGAAATACTAAAAAAGATCTTCAGTGGGTAGTTGCAGAAGGACACAGATGATTTGAGAATATGACTGTGGTTTACTCTAGAAATAATTATTAACAGAAGAAGCTGAAGAGATTTTAGATTGTCAATCAGGATTCTAACTAAACATTGAACCTGGTTATAGACTACTACAGCCCATTACTTTTTCAGGTTTTTGATCTCCAAGTGTCCCTGTTCTAGTAAGTATGATGAATATTGAAAGTTCCTTTGGTGGACCATTTATAACATTTCTTCTATTACTTGAATAGTTCAATATTATTTCTTTTAGGATAACATACTGTAAAAGCAAAAGAAACCATGAAATAATTTATATTTGAAGTGCTGCCTGAGATAGGTGCCTGTACTGTGATTCCTTCCTCATTCTACTTCATGAGTCATTGTTCACTGCCCGCTAATGGACTGGCCAGTCCCCCACACTGTCTGCTTCAGGGAGGAATGAAGGGAATCTTCTTACTGCATACCTGGGCCCCAGGTTGATGAAATCAGCTAGGAAAAGAATCCTCTCTCCTGGCTGGTGCACCCAGGCTGATGTCTAGCTCCTCTGAAACTAAAAAGGGAGTCTGGGTCCTGTTCCATGTGTGTTTGTGTGCGCAGATGTTTATGTGGGTGGGCCTAAAGACAGCTGAAAGATGCCTAGGAAGAGCTTCCAGCATAGCCCAGGAGTCTGCTTTGTCCCACACTAAACATAAAATTATGTGTTTTGGAATGATTTTGTTTGCACTAGATTTGGGACATATTTCACATAGGACTTGCAACACGACACTTTTGAAATATTTCCCAGCACAAACTGAGTGTCAATGCTATGATTATTCCTTACACTATGCTCTGAGCCAGTCATGTCAGAAACAGGTAGCTTGCTTTGTCTTTGATCTTTGAAATGCATGTTTTTCAAACCCACTTCATTTAAAGTTTTTCTTTCAATTTACAACATTCTCTGACAGTTTCACTTCCAGTATCTTGAAGACTGAAGGTCAATATTTGCCGTTTTTCTGAAAATCTAGTAAATATTGTTATATTGTGTGATCAGGTAACAATCCACCTCCTTGTATGACTGACACTGTCTATGTGCTGGTGTCACCTTTATATCTTTTAATAATAAAATCTTATTTCAGGAAGAAGGAAAAGCAGTAGCAGAGGTTCTTCAAGAGAAGATTCACCAGTGATCTAATGTTGCAGAAGAATGTGCAACCTCCTAAATTAGTTCTAACTACTCTACCTTACATACAAAATCTCTGCTGCTGGTCTTGCTGTTGACTAATTTAAAAGTTTGCTTTAATTAGATTCCTCATCTCCCAGTTTTTTTTTCTTTAAAAGGAACTGAGATGAAGTTGTTCAGTAAACATCTTTACCCATGTAAAAAATTATATTGTCGTTCATTCTTACTAATGTTTTAAAATCACTGAGCTATTTTCCTTTGTTGATATTGCATTAATATTTATTAAAAGTAAGAGAAGAAAAATCCTGTCATCTTTTCAAGATGTTTATTCTTTGTCAATTGCTAACTGTGCTGGTTTATAACTTTTCCACCAGAATGAAGAAGAAAACAAGAGCTTAATGTTATTTTTTTCTTAATGCAAATCAGATCTTTGACTGAGTGGACTGTGTTAACATATTGTTCTAGAGCTGCAAGAGGTCAAGTTTAAAAATGGGTTATCTGTGAATCTTGGCTTGGAAAGAGGCTACATTTGCTATATAGAGTTTTGCAAATATACAGACTTTTCATTACATTGTTTCAGGAAAAGTTTACCTTGTTTCTGTTGATTCTTAATATTTTAATATAATGCTATTCTTAACATCAGTGGTACCTGTTATTTAAAGAAAAGACAGAAATAGTACCTGTGCTGGCAGAACCCTCAAGTTATTTTGAGTAATGAACTGGGCATGACAATCTTGATTGCACATATAGGAAGGGACTTCACAAATGGAGGTCATTACTACTCATGTGAGGCACAGCATGAATGTGTTGAACCACAGCATGTGGTTGTTTCTGCTCAGTGCTTTGTCTGAGTAGGAATTTGAAGGACATGCTTGTTTGTGGGAAGATTTTGAGAATTTTTTGCAGAGCACTTTTCAGTTTAGCTTTATATTAAAAATGTTGAAGTTTGACTGAAATACTGCAGAATCAATCATTTGTATTATGTGTTTTGTCCTGATAAAAATGCAGATATTCTTCTTGAGTGATGACCAGGTGTTACAGGTTTTTCCTTGTCAGTAGTAATTTCAATTTAATATGCCACAATACAGAATTACATGCAGGATAGTTTCCTGGCAACTTCCTTGTCAACTTCACCCAAGCTGTTCTTACTGTGTATTCAAAATATTCAAATATTTTTGCTATCACCAGATGTCCTAACATATAGTGTGAATGTGGATAATGGTGGTAGTATTCAGGACTACAATGAGACTCACTAAAATAGAGGGTTGCTGAGTTAATTCATTGTGCATTACTCTGTTTGTAGCTTGTAGAAAACCAGTGGGGCTAAAAAACTGGAAATTACAGTTGCTGTTGTCCAGCCTTCTGCATGGTAAGAGTAACTCACTGAAGATAGCCTGCAAAATATAAGGAGCTAAGATAAAAGGATAGTCAGCAAAGGGAGAAACACTGTTTCTGAAATGGTCTAGGAAGAAGAGAGGAGACATGTGGCCTGGAGATACATCCCACACCTCTTTTTGCAAACCTTTACTTTGTCTGAATTAGTGGAAAGCTTGCTACTTCTTTGCTGTTTATCATATAAAGTACACTGAAGATTTGTGTTGCAGTACTGTGATGTGATTTTAAGATTAAGCTTTGTTTCATTCTCTAAACCGTGAATCTTTCTTCAGTGTTTTGGACAAAATTATTGTCAGATATTGCTCTTTTTGAACAAATTCTGTCCACTACTTTATCAGTTAATTTATCCACACTTTCTAAACCAGTTCTTGACTGGATTATTGAAGCACTTCATTAACTGATTACACAGTAAATTCCACTGAAGTTTCAGTTAGTACAGAAAAAAACCCAACCCTTTGTTGGCCAGAAACATGGTACTGGTTCTTCAATAGAGATTCATCTATTTCCCTTTGCAGTTCAAAGTGATGGTATTACACACTTGGATTCTCTAGTGCAGCTCCATAGGAAATACTTGCATTCCTCCATCAAAAAACTTGAACTCTGTTTAAAATTTGAAGATTTAAGAATTTCAGGGGTTTAATTGGAGAAATTAGAAACTTTTTCCTCAAAAATCTTGTCGGTTGAAGTATATATATATTTTATTTTTTTTTTTCGGAATGTGGAGAGTGGAGAAGTCTTTCAAGCAGTCTTAATGCCAAGATTCAAGAGAAAGGATATTAAAATATTTTATATTCATTTTTTCCATTGGCCCATCAGAGCTTAGAAAGTGCTGGCTTAAACCTAGTAGTCACTAATGCACCTTAGGGCAGAAGAGCTTCTCTGTCATCAAGCAGTACTTTTTATTCAGTAGTATTGCACAGGGAGAGTCAGACTGCAAGCAGGGCAAATGGATTTCTCGCAGTCTGATGCATAAAACTTGCTGCATTTAGATTGGTTTGTGTGAAGTACAGAGCTGTATTAGTTCAGCACTGGTTGAAACCATTACACATTATTTATAAACGTAAATGCTGGCATTTAGTTTAATTTTCACTGCTGTTTGATACTTTTCTTTCACCTTTTCACTGATTTTTGACAAATCACTAATTAGTCACATGAAGGAGTGGTGTAAATGGAAAAAAGGCATTTACTAATGAAAATAAGGTCTTTATGTAGCCCCTTTCAGAGTAAAGATCTTTTTCTGTAACTGTCAGCACTGCACAGTGGAAAATCAGTCTTTTTACCTTTATAAAAATAAATAGTAATAGGATAGGATTATCTAATTTGCCTGGTTTTCTGTGGGCTTTTCAGGTTCATATAAAATGTAATTTTGCTGTATGGTCTGCTTCTATTTCTATATCCCCAGCAAAAGAGCGTGGTGACTTTATCTAGTGCTCTATTTCCTAATTTCTTTACCACCTCCCCTTCCAAAAAAAAAAAAAGGCATCAAATACACAGAGTCTATTCAAACAAAATGTAGAGCTTTTATTCACTAATTAGTGGAAGAGATCCATCAATCTTACACTTTCTTCCTTTCTAATTTTCAGATGTATATCACCAATACAGTGAAAGCCAGAGGAACAAGGCTTGCAAAACCTGTTCTATGTTTGGGCTTAATGTGTTTGGCTTTCCTTACTGGAATCAACAGAGTAGCAGAGTATCGAAATCACTGGTCAGATGTAATAGCAGGATTTGTAATCGGAATATCTATAGCAGTCTTCTTGGTAAGTGTGTATCTGTGTAACTTCTGTTTGAAAAAAATCAATGTTTAAGTTTGCATCTCTAAAAAAAAAAATAAAATCACACCACTAAATGACAAAAGATGTGTTGCTAAATTTTAGGGTCTTTAATTAGTTATCAGTTTCCTTTGTTATATTTAGATAATCTCACAAGTGTGAAGTCATGAAAGGACTGATCGTGTGATCTCTTTTGACTTCCATATAAACCAGACTGTAGCATTTCAAACAGTAATCTCTGCATCAAGGGCCACTTTAAGGAATTATATATGCCTCAGAAAAGCATAGTTATGATTTCATGTATAAAGTATTAAATTTGATGTAGTGATACCTACACTGATCAGAGAATAGGTAGCATTTGTTTTTCTGACTTTAAAGTAACCCTAATGAATTCCTTTCATGTTGATTTGGGTTTACATTGAAATTTTGTGTTATTCTCTATAAAAAACCCCCACCATCTTTGTTTAGCCTTTTCCTTTTCTGGAGCTGTGTTCTAAAACCTGATTGTTAACCACAGTTCCTGATGACTAGTGTCTGTGTCAGAAAGCTATTTCTAATCTATTAATCAGCTCCACTAATATCTGCAGTGCAAGGCTATAGAATAGAACAGTCACTGCTGTTTACTGCCTGCAAGTTTGTCTGCCTGGCTGCTTGTAATAGTTCTAAGTACACCTTTGATTTTTTCCTCCATGAAAACACTTTTGAGTTTGTTTTTTTTTTTTTTGGATTACAAGGTCTTGGTCTCAAGATCTTGAATTTGAAGACTTGGCTTGGCTGAGAACCCTCCCAGGGATGGCTGCGATGGGTATTTTCTATCCTCTGAGAAATGCAAGGACAGTTGCAGGTCTCCTTTAAAATATACCTGCTTGCGTTTCCAAATGTTCCCTTCCACAGAAGGTGTCCAGGAGTTATACTTGGTTGTTCATGTTTAAGTTTTTACATTCTGTTCATTCCCCTAAAGTAATAGAAAAGAATAGAGAAGAAATCTGTCCCACACTTTTTCTTGCATTTTGTGATGTATATTGCATAAACTCCTTTGAGTAACATGATATCAAATTTAGTTGTGTTTTGAAGAAAATACAGTTGGCAAACATTGCTACTCAGCTGAGCATCTGAATTAGTAGAAACACAAACAAACTGGTGTATATCACATTCCTAAGTCCCCGTGGGAGAACCACTGCTGCCCTGACCAGATTTAGAGTTGCATTTAGACTTGGGGATGGTCCTTGCCTTGTTCCCTTTCTCACTCTCCATTTGAAGAAGTCTTTGCTGATCAAAACTTAGAGGGTACTGGCCTTCATAGGAGTTTAAGGTTAATGCCATGTGCTGCTGCACGTGCTCTGGACATCTCTTCATGACACTGATAATTGGTGTTCTGTAGCAGGGTTCGTGCCTTAGTGTTCTATTATTCAGATTGAGTAATGGATTTTCTTTATAAAGGATTTTCTTTATATAAGAGGGTTTTTTAGTTCCCAAATGATGCATGTAACAATAAATTGGTTGAAAGTCTTTTGTCTTGAAATATTAATTAAGGATTTTCTGTAAAACATGAACTTCACATTTCAGTGTTTCTACTGTAAAGCTGTGACTAAAGCTGGTGTCATTTCTGCCTAATTATGGATGTCAGTTCAAAAAAATAAGTTGTTCCTTAGCTATTCTGTTTATCTTCTAATCCCTTCTAGGTTGTTTGTGTGGTAAATAACTTCAGAGGACGTCAGCCAGAACATGAGCATTCTCATATGGATAATCTGGCCCAGATGCCCATGATCAGCATACCCCGAGTAGAAAGCCCTTTAGAAAAGGTAATGTCTGACTTTTTTTAAAACAATGAAATTAAATGTAGCTTTCCTGGAAGGATGATCCCACACTATCTTAACAAGAGTGCTGAGGTAATCAGATTTAAAATAAGGAGACATGCCAGTGAAGGAAAAAGAAGGGAAGAATTAATTCAGTGACACTCCATGGGAGGCTCTTTATGTCGTCTATGAGGACAATGGCTCTATATCTGTCCAGTTTACTGCTGTAGCTGCTGCCAAGTCCATGGAATCAGGATGAGTAGTAGATCTGAGGCCTCTTCCCTTGTGGTCCTGAAGTAAATTTGATTAACACTGTCTGAGAGTCCACAGAACTTGAAGTGCTTGGAAAGAAAATCTAACCCCTGGGCCCAAGGAGTTATGCAATTCAGGTACAGGTGGCATTTGTCCTATTTCTTTGTGATATGTCCTCAGGCTAGTATAGAGCATCCAGTCCCTTCTGGATCAGCTGTGGTGCTTTTATCATCAGACACATGCTAACCCCAGGACAGGGTACTCACTTGGAAGTGAGAGTAACATGGGTCTTATAGTAACTGCACAAACCCCATGATCTCTTGTCAAAACAAATAGGATTTTGGACAAAGGCATGCTAGTGATAACTTTCAAGCCAAAACTTTTTGCTTGAGTAAGTATCACAAAATGTGTTTAAAATTTATTTTAGTTTTCTGTGATAACCATTTTTGTTTTTTGAAGATGATGATGTACTATGTGTTAGGTAAGATTATGTCTGAACAATTTTGTGAGCAAACAAGTAGTGAAATAGATAGTAAAGAATTCCACAATGGATAGGGCACTAAAAGCACTTTTCTATGGCATTCTTTTAAGAAGTGTTTTTAATCACTTCCCAGCCTGTCTTAACCACTTAGAAGTGGTGGAAGTTGTCCTTTAGTAAGAATTTCTGCTGGCCCTGGGCGTTTTATTCCTTTCCTTGAAGGGAAAGAAGATTTCTTTTTAGAATGGTCCAACATGCCTTTTTGAACCAAATGTGTCTAAGCTACTTCTGCTGATATCTTGTCATAAGGAGGTCAGAGTCTCATTTGCTTGAACAAGTATTTACATGACGAGTGTGTATCTTCAAAATAATCCATTCAGTAAACTTTCTGTAAAATGTCAAAACAAAACAAGATGTCAGTTGGCCTAGGACATACCACACTAATAAGAGCATGTCTTATTTACATGCTAGGCTCTCCTGCAATAGCAGCCATTTCTGTGGCTCAAAAGCCATCATAGCTAATAACCCTGTCACTCATGATGAATAATGTTCTTTTCCTGAGACTTGGCCTAGTTCGAGATGCTGTGGCAAAAACTATTTGTGAACTGCCCAGGACTCTGATATGAACAAACTTCTTTCATTCTGAGCTCGTATTCCTGGGGCAGTAGACAGCAGCTGTTTGCTGGCATGGAACTTCTCTCTAGATAACTAAATTGGAGACTGTCTGCAGGGTGCTAATGCTTGGTGAGATCTCAGTGTATAGTTCATCTTTGTCTGTGTTGCAAAACCTTTCTCCTTTCCAGACAGAGAGGATGGAATGTGAGGACAATAATGTGGAGACTTTGCTAATTGTTGGGAAATGCTTTCTTCTGTTTCCACTCTCAGAAACTTTAAATTTGAATTAGCGAATAATTCACGAAAAAGTTATTTACATGTGAGTGCTTTAGATTTTGAGGTTCTGTGGATTTATTTTTATTTTTATTTATATTTTTATTTTTATTTTTTATTTTTTTTTATTAAATGCTTAGTCCAAAGTTTTAGATAGAAGACAGACCCTGTTTAATAAAAGGCACTAAGAATAGTACTTATGGAGAACTAAGGTCTAAATTAAGTTAGTTAATCTCAATTAATTACCATCACTACAAGCATTATTAACTTAGTCTTTGCTTTTTAACTCCCTTCCTATTTTACATCCTTTGTTCTCCGCTGAAGACGGAGCGATACTAAATAATTTGTGTGCTATTTGCCTTTGCCTGGGTATGTGTGAGTTGATTTTCATTACGTTTCAGTTAGGACTGTTCTAGTTCAACATTCTGAATGCACATAGATTTACATTTGGCTTATTTTAAAACTGTATTTCCTTATTTTCAGTCTGCAAGCTCCTGTGCGAATATTAAAGACAGCTTACTGTCAGAAATTAGCTACTAAGAGTAGCACAAATCCTAACTGTCTGAAGTTATCAAAGGCTAAGGCAGCGCAAGCATGAAGCAATGCAATTGTGATTGGTGTTTCAAAATAATAACTGTATAGGTATCTGGGAGCAAACAATTAAAATATCCTGTTTTAAAGAACAACTTCTTTAGAAATGCCCACCAGGTATGACCTCACTCATTGCTATTTTGTTACAAATTCACCCCCAAATGAATAAGCATAGGGTGCATCACACAGACCTGGAAGCACGTTACTTTTCTGTTTCCAGATCTGCTACTTGCTATTCCAGTGCTTTCTCCATGGAAAATGAATGCTCTTGGCATGCTCACCCTCCTGCCACTGTCTGAATTCTGGTGGAGGTCGAGCTACATTTGAAGTGCACTTAAATAGGAATAAGTGTACTTGTAATATTCTGAATTGAGCTGCTGCTGGTTAATGACAAGGTTAGATAACTGTTTGCATGACACTTCTGTTTAATTGTGGTGCATGCAGATGATTAAGCTGTTCTGCACGGGTACCCACTCCTCATGCATTCAAGCCATAGTTGCAGAGTGTCTCCTTGAGGAATCCTTGCCAGAGCTGGCTCAGCAGTGCAGACTTAGTGCTTTTACCTTAACTACAATCGTATTCAGAATTAATGAAAAGAATGGAAGCCAAGAAACCTCATCACTCACCCATCTGCCTCTTCTTCTCTCCTGTCTCTGATCTTGTTCATCTCTTACAAGATAATTTGTGTTTCAGTTAGCTGGCACTCTCCTACAAAGAGTAAGCTCTCATTCTGCCGCAGTCAAGGTTACAGACTCCTGTTCTTTTGCAAGACTTACTGAGAAATGGGGATATTCTGGGCGTTACCTGGAAGAGTTTAAAAGCTCAGCTTCATCCAGTGCAGTCACAGACTGTGTTTTCACTGTTTCAGGGGAGTCTGACGTTATTTTATGCAAAAGTCACCTGAAATTGGCTGGGGCTCACAGAGGGCTCCATGCATGTCTTGTAGTAGCTTCTGATTCTCCTAGCCTGTTTTTAAGGGTTTTTTGGTTTGGGGTTTTTGATTTATTTTTTTTTTAAATAAGTATTCTAGCTTCAAAAAAATCAAGCAACATGGACCATTTTAGGACTAACTGAGGCAGTAGATAGAATAGTGAGAGAGAAGGTTTTAGGAGGAAGTGTTTGGTTAGGAGATGTGCTATGGTTCATCTCCTGTGGGATGAGATAATTACTGTGTCTGATAATCAGTTCTTTCTGTAGCTATTCAGTGTTACTTATTTGCACAGAGGGTTCTTTGCAGTACTCCGTTTGACAGCTAAAGTGCATTAATTCCCCAAGTTCTGCTTGGTGTTCCTTTATACTACCACTTCTGTCAGCAGTGCCCAAACCCTGTTCCAAAACACAGTCCCTGTTCCTTGTTACAAAGTGGTTTCTTACACTTCCCCCATAGGACTGTCTATCCAGCATGACTGAACTAGAAAGAGATAGATTAGGTGCTCTCTTTTTCTGCTATTTCCAACTTTTAATGGTTATAATTATTTGGAATTCCTCTCGTAATATGTGACATTGCTGTCGCCCATTGTACCAGTTGCTACTATCAGGGTTAATTGTCCCAGAAATCTTGTTGAGTTTGACACTATAATTCTTTTTCTATTGTGTATGTGCCAAAGGTAGTGGTGATAAAACCTTTTAACAGTAGTAAGTGTAGATATTGCAATGAGTTCTGATAGTATTTATTATGTGCCTTTGTGATCACACAGCAGCATGGCCTAGGGCGTCTGGTCTGATCCCTGCAGCTCTCCAGGGAGACTGAACACCTCTCACTGAGTTCACAGCTAAAAGCAAAACACAAAGATGTTTTAGCTCATCGTGCTATGAGCAAGTGGGGAAGATGGTTTGTGTCTATTTCTGTTGCTTCAAAATGTTTTAGTTGATAAATATCCAAATACTGTAGTGCTTGATGTCCAAAAGTATACATAGGTATCCATACATAGTTTCTCCGGGTAAGTTTGAGGAGAGCCCATGTGCTTACATTAACTTATAGGCAGTTTTCAAATTTCTGTTGGCATAATGGTTCTCCGTGATAATACAGTCTTTTAAAGGAGACATAATACAACATTGTTTCACACACCTCAACGCATACATGGGAGAGTCAGCTCATAAAAAACCGTAAGCAGTTTTGTTTCAATGTCAGGCAGCTGAATTTGCATTTCTATCCTACTCTTCTGCTTAAATCAGCTTCTAGGGCATTGTACAAGAATTATTTCTGTTTGAATGCAAACTATGATCACCACGTCTAACGTTTTAATAAAATAATATTTAAATATGGGAAGTGGAACAATATATTCAGTGTGACCTCCCCAACCATGCATGTTGTAGATGTTACAGAATCAAGGTATTAGTAACAATCAAGAAGATCCTTTGCAGCGAAACTCCCTCAAAGCTCGCATCGTTAGGTTCTTCTCCTGGATATCGGGAACAGACCGTTTTGAACAGCTTCGCATAAGGCAATAAACGTATGTGCGCGAGAGTGCACCTGAGTGAGCGTGTGGGAGAACCGAGGCAGATGCAGTGTGGCAGCAGCGTTCTGTGCAGGTCTGCAACGTTTGAAATGGGGAATTTCACTTGAATGCATTTTTTTTCCTTTAAAAATGTGATTGTCTAGTAAAAGCGTAAAATATACTCTGTGCACTCCGAGAATTGTACGATAACAGTATTATTATTGTTTGATAAATTATGATTTGCCTGAACTAGTACCATAGTATTTTTCTGTTTCTTTTAACAAGGACTACAAACAGTTTTACAAATTCCTGTTGTCAAAAATGAAAAAATTTTAGGATGATGACTGTTTCTGAATATTTCTAACTGAATTGATGATAACAGAACAAAAAAAAAGTTCAGTACATATAATATATGTTGAAAACTGGAAATCACAAGACGTTTTAATGTATTTTTTCAATGCTTTAACATTATAGCATTGCTTATGAACAGAAATTAATTAAAACTTAACAGAAGATATACGGGTGTGGATCATTTCCCCAAGTAACCTGCACTCAAGGCTTAGCCTTTAGCTTTCCCTTTTTTGTTAGTGGTGTGAGAGCGTGGTTATGATGCATGCCTTGCTCACCAAGCTGATACTGTCTATTTAGAATGGATAGTACAAATACTGGTGGGCCTGTCTGTGAAACTGCTGCCACTGAGCAGACCCTCAGCATTTCTAATTCTTTTGAGTACTGTAGGGAAAATAATTTCCCATGGAGTTGGAGAAGCTGAGGTCTTGTGCATGTTTTTCGCTTGTCTCCTGCATCTGTGTGCATCTGTTTGCTGACAGTAGTTAGTATCTCACACTGAACTTTGTGACAGTAAACCTAAGCAGAATTAAGAGAGTTTAAATGCAGTTATTCAAGGAGGGATGCTGTTTGCTAATTTTTTTCTGCTGAGTCTCAGCAAGGCTTATTTGTAGTTTTGCCTGAGACAATAACGTGAAAAAGCACGAATAACCAGACAGTTGCATGAATCTGTATCAGTGATTCTTGCCATCAGCAAGTGATTAATTTTGACCTAGTTATGCGTCACCCTTCTGAGTCCATTGGAAATGAATTGACATTCCTTTACTAGGGTCCAAACCAATAGGTCCATGATCAGGAGCTTAGCAGTTCTCTTTGAGGGTTTATTGAGGAAGGGAGATTTTTTTTCTGTTACTATATCCCATGCCTCTTCATGTCCTTCCAGGCATGGTGACCCACTCATTTTGGGAGTATAGCTGGCAGGAGTATGAACCATTCTCCTTTCCTTAAATAATAGTTATCCAGTCCCAAATTAATGTCACATGAAAGAGCAGTTGTTTCTCTGCATCACAGGCAAATGTGTGTCACTTAGGGAAAGGGATGGCACAAAGCAGGACTTGAAAGAATTGATTAAAATAAAGAGGAATTTTTTTCCCCTTCAATTCCTTGTTTTTAGACCATCTTACTTATTAAGAAAGTAAATAATTTTAGACTGATGATAGTTTAAGTTGACAGGATGACTTTTCAGGTCCAAATAAAGAAAAATAAAGTAAATACTATGAAGAAAATGTCATAATAGCCTCACAGCAACTCCAGAGTCATTGAGTTTGCCTGCTATATCATCTTTTATGTACTGAAAACAGAAGATGGCCAACCAACCAAAATGCTTTGAATTCTTAATTTTTGTTTTCTAATTAGGAAATCTAATTTTGCATTTCTTCTGCAGTTTTAAAATCTGCAAGCAATGACATCTGTTAATATTGTTTACTGAAAACATTTTCACAGAAAGTGGCACACTTGTTTTTCTAATGCTTCTTTAAAAATTCTGCCTATGGTTTAATAATTACTATTTTTTAAAATATACTTATTCTGTTTTGGAGAAGAACTTGTTTAGATGCTTGTATATAGATGCTTACTATTTGGTAGTATTCTCTTATGAAAGCTGTCATAAAATACAGCAAGAATATTGCTAGAGCTAAAATGCATGTTGTAGGGGAGGTGGAAGACAGCTTCTCCTCCTGGACACAGTACAGTTACAGCACAGTGAGAGTGAGAGCAAAGCTGACAGCCTGGCTTGGAGAGGGGGGATAAGGGGCAGCTCTCCAATGCTCCCAGTCAGGGTATTTCTGATTTCCTTTATTGTGCAAATCAAAGATGCCTGCCTGCTTTCCCCTGCACGGACTGATAGACAAATATTCTGACAATTTAAAGAAGAACTGAGAAATATAAACTTAGGTGGTGTCCACTGTTTCTCTCCGGCACTTTTTGTGCTGTGTGATAAAAAGATTTTCTGAAGGACTTCCCTTAAGCAAAAAACAAGAGGTCCCACTCTCTCCAAGTTATCTACATAACTCATCCTCTTCAGCTTACACCTCCTCTCTTCTGACTTTAATCTGCTCCAGGAGGCAAAGTGATGAGAAAAATCTGCAGTGCTTTGCTTGGTATTTTACCCTGTGTGCATTTTTGGGCTGGGGAGCAAACACATGGCCTAACATCGAGATTCCCTTGATTAATTTTATGCATTGCATGTTTTATAAAAAATGGTGGCAGTCAAGGGTACTGTGTGTACCTCAAGGGAACGTACATTTCCTTTGGATCCTGCACATCACTGTGCAGTTGAGACTTTACTTGTCGAATGTTTGCAGAGTCACTTGCTTGGGTTAGAGTATGAAAAAGTAGCAAAGCTCTTTGGGATGCTGCAGTTTTACTGTGTAGAGTCACACATAGTATATTCACATTCTGATACACATCTTTGTGTTCATAAGAATCGTCCCACTGACAGAAAGAGGAAAATGTTCTTACACAGCAAGTGAAGAGGACACTGTAGTGATTCTGAAAAAGAAATTTTTAATATGGTTCTCAACTGACAAATGCAATTTGATTGTAGAATTTTGCTACTTGTTTCGGTGCCATTAAGCTCAGGGGGAGAAATTATTCTTTAAAAAATTAACATTAGAATTTTATTTACAGTGAAATAGAAAATGATAATCTGTCAGAAATGGTCGTTTTAATTTCTGGGAATTTTATTTTAAATCATGAATAATGTAGCAATAAAGGTACAGCTAACTCAATTATTCACGTTGTTACTTCATTAAAAAAAAATCCAAAACATTTAAAACTAAAATATTGTAGAACTGTCACACCTAATAACTTTGTTCAGCATACTTCCCTATCCAGTCTTTCAGCGGTTAACAAAGAATTGTCTTGAGAGTGAGTGAGAGCACTGCAGTGAAAACCAGTTTTATTTACAATAAAATATTGTAAATATTGTAAATAAAATCTTGTCCTGCAACAATCTCCAAGTACAAGGCTGCCCTTAAAGCTCAGGAGGCAAAAATTTTCACAGTGGTGACTGCTGTCTATCTGTGTGGTTTTGTGGTTTTTATCTGTTTGTTTTTCCTTTAACTTGTAGAACCACATCACGGCCTTTGCAGAAGTCACATGATGTTGACGCTGATGTATATTCACTCCATTGGACTTCATCTCTTTTCACAGCCCACACATGATATTTGCAGTGTATCAAAAATACGAAATTTTTAAAAGTCCTATTTCTGACTTGATTTTTACATCATTAAAATGATACCAACATTTTGAAGAATTCTTAAATATTAGAAGGTCACTTTACTTTCTAGCAAAAATATTAACTGTTTACTTTTATGATGGAATGGGACAAACTGAGCACTAATTATAATACCCTCTATTTTGGCTTCTCATTGTTTTTAATGGTTCATGTACCTATTCCAACAGTACTTTGTATTCTGATTTAACTTTGATTTTTAAAATCTACATTTTTAATTGAGCATGAACTTGTTTCCATTTGAGGCGATTTCAGTGTATAAAAACTAGACAAATATTATGTTCTGTATGAAGATGCTGTTTGCACATTGTATTACGCTGTATTTCATGTAAGATATCATTCAAACAATATGTTACATGTAAGACTGGTGCTTCTGCTTTTGAAGAGAAAAAAATGCCAATTTTTACTGTAATAAGTATTGTATCATAATTAAAGGTTTATTTATTTGGATATTTTCCTGACATAATTGTAGTTGAATTGTTGTTTTGTAGTTCTTGAATGTCTTGAATGATATATATGTATCTAGGTTAAAAGAAATGAAAATAATATAGCAAGTTTGATCATTGATATATTCTTTATTACTAATGATATCCCATGAAAGGTTAAGGGCTCTGTTCTTAGCTTAGCATATCTGATGCTATTCAAAAGTTATTTAAATGAGTTATTTAAGAAAGCCTACATCTTCTCATGTTTGCTGTACTCCCTGATACTATGATGGGAGAATGGGTGCTAAGGTAATAAGAGGGTCACTGGCTTAGTGAGAAAAGTGCATCTGAATTTCTACTCTCCATTTTCATGGAAAACTCATGGTAAAGCCAAAATGGCTTCATTAATTTTCTTCAGCCTAAGTGACCAGGACAGGCAGATTTTCTACAAAGCTTTCTATCTCTGTTTGTGTTTCAGGCACTTGTTCTTGGGGGGAAAAAAAAAATCCTCTGCCAGTCTGTGTGGTGTTGATGAATTGATTTTTCTTCAACATCAGGCGATGTTATCATAGCTCTGTTATCGCTGTGAATAATCAGATTAAGTCTCCCCTTTAAAAGACAGTCGTGCTGACAATACGTAGTGAAGTTGTCCTATAAAAATTGAGCACCAAATGGATCGGAATATTGTAGATGCTGACGACATTCTTAATGTGTGCTGGAAAGTTTTCCTCTGGCAACAGCTGATAAAATGCTAGCACTACAGAAACATTGAGAATACTATTGTTCAGTACAGGCTGTTGAGCATTTTAGGCCTTAAATTTTCCACAGTTCAATGTATTTCCTGTACGTTAATCATTGTTAGAGTATGTTTGAAACATAAGGATGTAGAAGTGTGTATATTTTTTCGATGATTAATTTTAATGCATTCCCACATAGTCATCAGGTAATGCCTGCTTTTTACTTTTTATTTTAACCTCTGCTTTCACTAAAATTCAACTACCTAAAGAGTGCTTGGCAAACAGGGCAAGGCCAAGTCGTCTTTCAGTGCAATAGAGCATTTGTCACGAAGTCATTATGCTAAGCTGAGAATTAAGAGAGTGAAGAAATATATCAATGGGGAGAAAAATCTTAGAATAGAGTCCTTAGCTACAACTGCAATACTTAGATGATTGAAAATCCACCTTTATTAGACTATCAGCTGTAGTAGATCCAAAGTTTGTATCACCGTGTTAGGCACACTCACCCTTCTCTTAGTCTAGGTAGTTAGGGTCCAAGGTACTAATGATTTCTTTGTGTGCAGATTTAAATGAAATCTTCACTCGTTTTTGCATGGTAGCAAACCTGCATTTTTTATATCTGATTTATAAGATTACCAAGAGATTCTTTTATGTTAAAAGAGATGACTCTTTTTCAGTGTACTGTATATCATCAGCTTGTAACTGGTCTCTTTCTCAGGATCTTTCCCAGTCAAATATTTGGGTTAAATTTATCATACTATCTCTGTGAACCAGCAGTGAGAAAACAAAAAGAGAGACACTCTGCTGTATAATGTATTTTTAAATAAAATAATTTTTCATTCATATGTAGTGCATGTTTTTTAGATATCTGCTTTAGATATATTTTGGTTGATAGTGTACCTATAACAAAATTATGATTTTTTGTCAAATGCATTTGTTGATATATTTTCACAATGAGCCAGGAATCCCCACAGTTAACTACCTTCCCTTAGAGGTGGTTCTGCTGAGATTGAAAAGCATTGGAAGAGGAGCTGTATTGCAGAGTCCCCACAGCCTGTTGGTGAAGGACTCTCCCCAGGATGTGGACCAACCAGGCTCCAGACCTTACTTTGATTAATTTTCACAAGTGGCAAGAATTTGCTCAGTCACAGCTGTAACTCTCCACTGCCCTGAAGCTTGGGCCTTCCTTCTTCCATTCTGGACCCGAAAAACCTTTCAGGAGGAACGTTTTGCCAAAACAAAAGTAAGTTGGCATTTTCTGACTAAAATGTCTTTTTGGTGGTTGCTTTTAAAAAAATCCCAGTGATGAGCCTATGACAAGCATCATTCCTCATTCAGGGAATATTCTGGTGAAGAGTGGTTCCTACTGGAAACAGTGTGGTTGAACCATTTCAGTGGTTTTGAATGCAACTGTTTTTATTGTTCTTGTAGACCTTTTCTGTCTGTACTTCAGTAAAAAAGCTCTGCTCTATTTATAAATGAGATGTTTAAGAAGCATCTCTAATGTTATATGCCACTGTGTTCCTAAAAATGGAATTTGTAAGGCATATGGGGACACCAGCTGGGCTCATATCCATACCATTGCAGACTCTTTTATATGTATTCTGCTGTTTGTTAATAATCATGAACTGCGTAAGACATACGGTGATAGCACCCAGGCTCCTATCTCTTCAGCTTTTAAAAACGTTCATTTTAACAATATGTATTAAAAGAGGATAATGTTGGTATTTTTCAGCTGCAATTTTCTTTCATGTTTGCTGTTGCCTTCTAATTTTGTTGCTGCCCAAGATCACAGTAAGTGCTACAGTCCATTTGCACATTAGGTTAGCAGGGAGCTTTTTATACTCTTCTGAAGTCTAATTCTGGTATTTCTGAGGCTTGCCATCAGAAAGCAGAGTGCATTACATTTTAGGAGCAGATAAACTGGGTCTATTTTGATCTAATACATTGCTGGCCATCTGCACAACCTTGGCCTTGGGGACACTCAGAGCATTTGCAGACAGAAAAGCGAGCAGACCTCCAGACCTCTCAGCCCTGCAGCACCTCCCTCCAAGCACATCAAAAGCATTTTTAGTCATCTCTGCCTCTGACAGCTGACTCAACCCCAACACACCGGATTTTCCTGCTGTACACCAGCATGAACACTTTTGTTCTCCCCTCAAGCACCTTTGAGATACTGGACAGATCAGGCAAGATGCCATGTCCTCACCCTGAAGTGTACTACAAGCATGACTGCAGCTGGAGCCAGCAGCTGCCTGGTTCTCTTTCGGACAAGTGGAAAGCTAAATGAAGACCAAGTTTGGTTCTGGCTTTTGGCCTTCCCCTCCACTTTCTAGGCCTTTTGGTTTTCAGGGGCTTCCACAAAGGAAAGTAAAGGAATCTTTACAGTCTCTCTACCTGCTTGAACTTCTGCTGCATGCCTAGAGTGTGAAAGCTTTACACTTGCTATTGGCCACTAGGGACTTTCCCTAAAACACAGTGTTGCCTTTTTGTCATTCTCTCCTGTGCGAGGATGGCTGAAAAAGAATTTCCAGGTTTGACCTGATGTTCGGGGAAGAAGACACTGTGAACACCCCAGAAATACCCCTGCCAGAGTGGGAATTGGAAGCCCTGGTGTGACTGTGATAAGCCTGGTTGTTTCCTCAGCACTCGCCAAGTTGCCATGTTAAGGTATGACTCTATTGGGCTTGCTGTTGATACCAAGCTGCCTTATCATGAAGCCCTAGTACACTTCCAGCACAAAGGATTAGGTGCTTGGTTCCCTGCTCAATACTGGAGCTTGTTCTTTCTCTTTAGAGAATCCTAGGAAGGAGAGCATATCCTGCATGAAACTTGTCCCCCATGTCTGCTCAATGCTCTCACAGACAAGCTGGTGGTAAGGTAGCTGTCATTAAGGCTTCCAAGATGCTTAGCTTCCACTTGCCTGAAATGATATCACGATCCAGGCATGTTTGATGATCATTCTAGCTGGAAGCACTGTAACTGGCTAGTGCCTGGGCTCCAGCTGCATTTTTTCTGAAGATGATGATGACATCCAGTTCTCTGCCTATCATGTCCTTGAACTCAATTTCTTCCATTCCAGTTGTCAGCTTTTGATACTACATTTTGCTGTGAGATGTAATATTCACATGGCATAAGGGGAGTGTGACTGTGTTCATCCGCAGACTGTTTTACATACCCTTACGTGCCTTTTAGTCTGGTTTGTTGTCGCTAGCTGTGTAAAACATTTGGAAGTAGGTTAATCTAATTGAATTAGAACAATTTAATTCTGAGCAAAAGTATACCCTCAGAGGTTTTATATGATTCTAACTAATCCACAGTAAATCTCTAGCTAATTCAGATAAACCGTCCTGAGTTGTCCCCTGTGTGAACAAGTCCCAAACCTTTTTTTCCCCTTCAGAGTAGCTCTGCTGTTGTAATATCTTCCCCTAGTGACTACAGCCAGAACAGTGTGCAGCAGTCAGCTTCCTGAAGTGGTCACATCAGCAAAATAATCATCTGTCTCTAAATTGTGCATGTGCCAGTGGCTTTATTAGTAGACTGGGTGCAGAGGACTGCTCTTGGGTTCTGAAAGTGATTTAGAATGAGCACAATGCTAATCTCCAAATGTGAAATTACTGAATCCATCCTCTAAGATGGGGACTTCAGTAGAAGCTCCAGTAAAGAGCTTTAGTTCTCAAAACCAAATTCTTTGCGCCAGTGTTCTCATCTGAAAATGTTCAGAGCAAAATAAATAAATATAAGAAACCAAATCCTTTTTCTGACAAATCTCTCCCTAAATACCAGTGTTGTACCTAAATACATACTTTCTGCAGCTACAGGGAACTTGTAGCCCTGCTGACAGTCTTTAATGTGGTTCTAAATGCTAGATTCTTGAGTTGTGAATTCCTAGGATTGCTCTGAAGTAGGCAAACAATCCTAAAAAGGGGAGTAAACATGTCTACAACTTTAAAAGAAAAACTAGAGCTACAAAATGAGAAGGGGATGAATTTCAGAAGCAGGGGAAAAGCCTTACGCTCATTAGCATGTATGCCAATTTGAGGTAGATTTGCATTATTTTTCTAACATAAAATATTAATACTTTTGTGAATGGCATTTCTATGTTTTTGAAATACTGCAGTAAAAGAGAACTGCTGCTCTTAGTCTGATGTTACTGCTAAGAAATCATCTGCTGTTTCATCCTCATTTGCTACTGTTGCTTAAGGAAAAGCAGCTTCTGTTCTTTCCTTAGCAACCTCAATTTATACAGTAGCAACTGACAAAGATAGTCTATTCAAATATTCTAAAATTAAGTCTGATGTGATGAGAAAAAAAGTGCTTATTTGGCAAAACAAAAGAAAATGCCCTTTGGCTCTTGTTGAAGACAGGAGACTTGAAGCTAATCCTAGTAGGAAACATCAGGAAGAAGATAAGACCCTTGCCTTTTGGCAACACTTTACCATGTTGTCAAGACAAGGTGGTAGATCTTTGTAGAGATTAATACCCTTTTTTTTTTCCTGAGAACTTAGATAAAACATTATAAGGATGTAAGTTTGGAGCATATAATCTTCCAGGGAGAAATAGAGAATGCCACTGGTATTGTATTATGTTTATTCTGTGGAGTCACTCTCGAAGATCATGAAAACCAGCCCAAAAGAGGGGGAATAGAAAGACTAAACAAACTATTTTTTGTCAATTAGAGGGTGAGAGATTTACTACGCTGCATCTTTTCAGGAAAGAAACCAAGTGAGTAAGGACTCTATGTGGCAGAAGTCTGTCATCCTGGGTCTCCCATGGGAATGCTGCCTGCTGATAGTGTATATATTTCAGTCAATTAACATTTTGCTTAGAAGAACAGATAATCATGAGATGTTTGATCTTTAGTTCTTTGTCAGATTAAGAGAAGATGATAATCCTATGGCATTGGGCACTATGCTGCTGCTTTTTATTTTCTGCCTGATGACTTGGTTTCCCTGCATATTGAAGTTAAAAGACTGTATACTTCATTTTACTACAGTTAATAAAATGAAATTTTTCTCCAGGAATCTGGTGATCTGCATATAGAGGTTAAGCAAATCTCTCTCATGGATGTCATTTCTTTTGAAACTTCGGATTGTAAACTCATTTCTACCCGTGTACTGCTATAAAACTGAAACTAAAAGCTTCTTGTAGTTGTGGAGAAGAGTCACCTCTACGGGCTCAATGGAAGAGCCATTAGCTATAAGTCTTGAGCACTGTAGGGTAGAAGATACCACAAGAGTTTGGCCACTTATGAATGTCTTTATGACCTGCTTGATCACAAGTCTGTGTTTTGATTTTCAAACGTACCACTTACTTCACTATGGTTGTGGTTTGAGTTGGAGGGAATATTGCTGAGAAGCATAGCTGTCAACACAAAAGGGAACAGTACTAAAACTTCTTCATTCTCACTGGCCTTCAGTATACCTGCTCCTTTTGTTATATGGCTCTGTGCTCTGTCTTCACTTTCTCACTCTGCTTCTGGCATTTGTATTTCTTAGTAGATGTTACATACTGCTGTGTCACATTGTGTAATAACCAGGAAGTGGATTGGACTTAGGCCTTTCCCAACATAAAATTGCTTTTTCAGATGCAGATATGAATATAAAAATAAAAAAATGTGGTGTGGCACCAATTATTTTAATGGGAGTAGAGCAAGAGCAGAAAATGAGGTTGTTTCAGAAGAAAATGAAGAGGTGGTGAGAAAAATCTGCTAAAAAATATGAGATAATCTGAATACAAGTGAAATTTTAAAGGATATAATGTGTAGTGACTTTATAGACTGTGAATGAGAATTTCCTATACAGCTGGTAAAGCAAAGAGATCATATAAGGTTAATTCATGAC